CCTCATATCCAAACTGAACCTCCCCTGGCACAACTTGAGGCCTATCGCTGACCTCTTGTCCTGTCACTATTACCTGGGAGAAGAGGCCAACCCCCCCACACCACAACCTCCCTTCAGCTTGTTGTAAAGAGGGGTGAAGTGTCCCCTGGGCCTCCTCTTCTCCAGACTGAACAATTCCAGAATGCTCAATGTGGCAGCTGTTGCACAAGCATGTGTTCTTGTCCTTCAGAATAACATCATCTTCAAATGGGTCTGAATTTGCAAAAGGAGAGGAGGAGATTGGATCTAGCTGACTGTCTGAAGTTGTTAACAAGGAACACGCAAGCCAAAGGACTCGACCCTCGAGCTGCCCATCAGCTTTGGATTTTATGCTGTTCAAGGTGAACTTGGCAGACAGCTTGTGAAGTTGCACAGGGGGGCTTTTATAGGGCTTCTGCATCAGTAAACAGAGTGCAGTCCTCAGAGGCTTGCCATACTTTTCTTCTCCCTGGTGACAAAGGTATGTCCACATAAAGAAAGCATGTAATTAAACCTGAGAGCAGTGGATCAGCTAAAAATATGACCTTTATGTGGTACTTAAAGGGTGCTGCAGATGGTGTGCCTTTATGCTAAAATTCTTGTATATTTCTGGGAGTGAGAGCTATTTCAGGGCATCTTCTTTATCTTTCTTGTCACTTTTTCTATTAAACTCTGTCCTATTTCTATTCAGTGCACCAAAGAGCGTGCATTGCACTGACATCTCTCTGATTCACTTGTGGCATCTTTAGGAAATGAAAAGTGATCAAATTCCCTTGTCAGGGAGGATGCTTATTTGGAGAAGTTGCATCTTCTTTTTTCTTAAAAGTACAACCCAGAAATGAAACTTGAAAAGGCCCATGGCCCAGATCTAATTACCTGCATTTAAAATGTAAGGAGGGGAGTTTGGTTGTACAAAACCACCCAGTAGCAAATAGCCTCCAAAGAGCATTGTGCTGCCTTTGCTTTGCAGGCACCTAGACTCTATATAGTAGCTGATTTTATGGAGTACAGTATAGCTGTTAACCAGCAGGACGGAACTCTTCAGTTGCCTTAGTAACTAATCCAATCCAGGGAGGACATAAAAATAGAATACATAATTTTAGAACCTTTTGGCCCTTTGCCAAGCAAAATATTCTCACTAGCAGCAGTCACATTTGTGATTTGAATGGATTTTCTTAATAGAATAGATTCTGTTTGTTTTATGGAGATAAATGGTGCTTGCTTCTCAAATCTGATTAATTGCACATCCTGGCTCTTAGGTCTTGTAGCTACTGTACTCCTCCCTAAGTTTTATTTAACTGAAAATATAACAAAATAAAATATAAATTAAAAAATGGAAAAATGTTTTAGTTGCTGGCTGCTGTTCAGACTTAATCTCATTTAAAGAAAAAAAAAAAAAGACAACGACTGCAGTATAACTCAATAAATCACGTAAATTGCCAGGAGGAACATCGTAAGCATCTGCTTAATTCAAGTGTTCTTTTTCTGTATTGATTTGTAAAGCTTGTTGAGAGAAAAAGGGTATTATTTTTAAGAAGGCGTTATTGAAAGCCTTGCTGCGGCTGGCCATATGGTACCGCAGCACCGCTCACTGGGGGAGCAGGAGCCCAATACCAGGAGTGATGGGAGCTCTGGAGAGGGTCAGCACTTTCCTCCCCCCCCCATTCTATTGCAGTCAGCAGTGTGTAGGGGGCCGTCGGGGCTGAGCCCTGCCCTGCGCTGTGCCCCTGAGCCAGGTGTGGGTTTCCTGTAACGCACAGACTGAAAGCATGTGCTGCTCACAAGAGTGCTGTTTTATAGGTGTAGTGATTCAGCAGGTCTCTCGTTCCACTTTGGGATTATCAGCCTGTAGGGTGAAAAGCTAAATATAGCAAATACGTGCTTTGCGCAGCGGTTGTAATGCTTTTTGCTCAGTGCTTCCTTTTTTTTCCAGGCGGTGCTATTCTTATTTTGGCGTCGTAATTTATTAATATGGCTAGCAGACTCCTCTAAAGCAAATTAAGATTTTTCATGGTTTTGCGCTAAAAGGATGGCATGCCAACCCAACAGGAAGCTTCTGCTGGAGCATGGCTGTAATTAGTTTATGACCCTGGAAGGAGGGGAGGCGGAGCGGGCCTGCCTGCGGCTGGGCAACCGAACCACAGCAGCACGAGCTCCTGGCACAGCCTGATCTAAAGCAGGACTTTCCAGATACAGATTTTAAGAATAAAATAAATCGAGCAGGAGGTGTGTGCCCGTCTCTAATGTGATAATTAGTTGTTGCCCTTCAGCCTCTCTCCTCTGCCAGCGTGGTAACGTTTCCAGTGGAGCATAGCAGCACATTTGCCATTTCCCACTGCTTGAGGATCTCATGGTCGCGTGGTGTTAATTTTTAGGAGGAAGGTGAGTTTGGCTGAGAGGCCTCCTGCAAGCAGATGGGTGCCGAGAGCCAGCCCTGCAGTGCTGAGGAAGCTTGTGGGCTGGGGCTGACTGTATGGCATGGGCTGTGGTGTTGGTGTTTGGGGGGAAACCAGCTGGAAGGGAGCTCCTGCACGGAGCCAGCATTCGTTTTCTGCCTGGACCTGCTTGTCTTTGCTGTCCTGGCAACTTGTCTGACCTCAGGGTCTGCCTGAAGGTTTGTATTTTATTGAGGATAAAGAAAATGCAAGTGCTGTGGTAAAACACAACCTGCTACTAATTTTTTTCCCAAAGAAGTTCAGAAAGCAGTGCATTAATACAAGCATTTGTGGCCAAAATGTATTGTGCAGTTAATTCAAGTAAATTGCAGTTACTCTGTAGCAAATAATTACCACCTGTTTCACATCTGCCTCAAATCCACTCAAAATACAGCAATCTAATCATCGTTGTTGTATTATTTATGTAGTTTTGTTATTTGCAGTTTGATTTCTATTTGCTAAGCCATTTTACAATAATTTTTTTCATTCCTTCTGTACTCAGAATGGCAGATGCAATAGCCTCCTTTGGATTTGTTTATAAAACCTTTCAAGACGTGGTTGCAGTGTGTGATAGGGCTCCTGCTGCCCCCCAGCCACATGCTGGCCTTTCCCACACTGAGCTCTGAGATCCCCACACCTCCATCTCACCTTCAGAATCAGTCACAGTGATGTGCCGTGCACATGGTTCTCTGAACTTTCTCAAAGACAGCTTTGGTCAGTTTGGATGGAAATTCCTGAGAGGGGTGTATCTGCAGGGCAGGAGCAGATGGATTCACAAACCTTGTCCCCAGCTGCGTGGGGGTGCAGGGGCAAGGCATGGGGAAACATGCTCCATGAGTTTGTCTTCTCCAGTGCATACATTACAGCTGTGACACTGAATGCAAGACACGATCCCCATCCTTTCACTCTGAGTTAGGCTGGCTGGCCTCCATAGAAGTATTTCTGCAGCAACATCCTATCTGCCCATAAATTTAAATTTTACACTTTCAGACTTGGGCTTCCTCCATTGTTGCAGTACCCTGTTGATGGTGACTGCTTTCACATCAGGGATGGTGTTTCATAGCATCACAGAACAGTTTGTGTTGGAAGAGACCTTAAAGCACACCCAGCCCCAACCTCCTGCTGTGGGCAGGGCTGCCACACACCGGATCGAGGTGACCCCATCCAACCCAGCCTTGAGCAGCTCCAGGGATGGGGCACACAGCTTCTCTGGCAGCAGTGCCAGGGCTTCACCATCCTCTGAGTAAAGAATTTTTTTCCTAACCTCTAACCTAAATCTTTCCACTTTCAGTTTAAGGCCATTCTCCCTTGTCCTATCACTATCAGATGTTAAGTGTCAGTCCCGCTCCTACTTATAAGCTCCCTTTAAGTACAGGAACACTGCAGCAAGGTCTCCCTGCAGCCTTCTCTTCTCCAGACATAACAAACCTGTTCTCTCAGCCCTTATTCTTTAGGAGGGGTGCTCCGGCGCTCTGATCATCTTTGTGACCTTTCTCTGGGCACACTCCAGCAGTTTTCTTCCTCTAGAAGCATCTTCATCCATTTGTGATGTGGGTGAGGGCAGGCTGGGTGTACGCATCTGCTTCTGACGCTGATCTGGGAGAGGAGCTGCAGGCTGGGGTCTCTAAATACCTGTGGGCGTGCCATAAAAAATGGTATTTCTGGCAGAAGTTCAGCTGGGAGGATGCCAAGTGAACGAGTTGCAAGCTCAGCAGCACCACTGCATGTCTTTGTGCTACCTCTGGTGTCTGCCTGTCAAAACCTGCCATCGCGAGCAGTAATTATGCACATCCGTTAGCTGAGCAGCCAGTCTCTGAAGCGCTTTGTGGCAGTCTCTCTCAAAGAAGCGCATATCTCATCTTGGTGTCAGCACGATGACCATAACACCTCCCCGAGGGAGATGCCTCTGATAACGCTATATTAAAGGCAGGGCTCGGTTTTGTCTTTGAAACCTCTATCACACAAGCCAGCGCACAAGGAAAGACACCTATTATAATTTTGTAGACAAACGTTAACAAAAGCTGCCTGCGCACATGCACACACACAGACATCCAACATTAGCATTGCAGGAGGCTGTGATGGTGACAGGAGTACTTTTACTGTCATCTCTGCTGGGAGAAAAAATACCTGTTTGTGCAAATAACCCCAGCTTAGCTTCGTTCCCAGGCGCTCCCTTTGCACGTGTGAGTATGTTTTGTCAGCTCTGTCTTTGGGTACAGATTCAAATGCATCGCTTCGCAGTTCTCATTTTCAGAATACTCGTGCTTGTTTGTGTTAAACAAATTAGAGCCGTGATAGTCCTGTCCCCCTGTGGAGACATAAATATTGTGCAGTAAAAATCTAAAATGTATGTTTATTATGTTTATTTCCCAAAAAAATGCTTGACCGAGTTACTATGTTTAATTTTCTTGATTGTTTTCTGTTTGTTAAATGAGAGTGTGTCTGAAAAAAAACTAAAAGCAAAGCTAGAGGCAGATAATAACATCTATGGCTATTAATTAAGCTGAAATCCTTGAACATGACTCCTTCTAACTTGTTATCTTCCAGACACGAGATGACTTTGTTCTTTGGGTGACTACTGCTAGACAGACGCATCCTGTTGTGATAAAGGAGACCAGCTGGATTTAGGACTGCGGCGTCGTGTTTGTGGTACGACTGACCATATGTGATTTTCTGTCACGTCTGCAGCTTTAACGTTAAAGCTCTGAAGTATTTGCACTTTGATTCATGCTTTTCCACCGGTTTGGTAACAAAATAAGAGGTGGCTTTGTGCAGCTGGTTTGCAGTAATGCGGGTCACACTGCAGTCTCTGCAAAGCACGGGGAAAGCCCTTGCATGCTTGTCCTTAAGATTTGTTTGGGGATGATTTTTTTTTTTTTTTTTTGCTTTGATTTGTTTGGGTGCACGTTTTCTTTTGTTGTGCTGTTGTCTTTTTGCTTGTTTGGTTTTGTTCTGAAGGAGGAAATGACTGTGACCAGAAACTACATTTCATCAGGGACGTAATTTTGAGTTCCTGCTCTGAGCGTGGTCTTTATCTGGCTTCACCAGAACTGAATAATTCTGTTAATTGTTATTGTCTTCCTGCCTGCTCTGAGAAATGCCCATCTGAAGCCTCTGCGGAGTCTGAGAACAGAAGGGTATCTGCTTGTGAAAGAAGCCTGGCAAACAGCAGATAGAATTTGGAGTTTGGGGTCCATTTTCCCTAAGAAGGAGAGCTTTTATTTGTTTCTGTTCCACAGCTATAATTTGGCTATAAAACATATGGCATAAAGGAACTGAAGGTACCTGCAGCATTTGGCTGAAGGAAGGAACCAACGTTAGAATTTGTCTTCAGTTTTACAAAGGCAGAGGTGGGAGGAGCAGGAGCCTCTTCTCAGTCAGCGCCGCTGAGAAATTACTGCAGCCTGAAGAGCAGTTTGCATTTCTTGGTTGTCTGGACTTGAGAGGAGTGCGTGTAGGAGCAAAGGCCAGCGGTGGTCACAAGGATAGAAAGGAAAAACAAATAGTAAAATTCCTTTTTTGCTCTGTGCAAGTCTTACTTAGAACTCACAGTGACTTTGTTATCATCTTTAATGGGTTACACTCAGCTCCTCTGAGCTTCCTGGGTTACAGCCAGTGCCCAGCCCTCCACAAACCATTCTCCTTTTAGTGAAGCATTCGTTGTGATTATGTCTTATATAGATTGTATCTTCTGCATGTTCCCTAACATTGACTGCTTGAACAACAGCTCACTTGTAGCAGTCAGTGTTTGCAAATGGCATCTTGTGAGAGAGGGTGGCAGAAACTGAGCAAATGCAATTTCTTTCCAGTATGGACTGTTGAATCACAGTGTCTGAGTGGGGCAGAAGGGGGGAGCAGCTGTATCCTGCACCAGCAGGGAGGGTGCTCAGCAGTGCCAGGTGACACGAGGGGGAGGCTTCTTAATCCCATCCAGGATTTTCAGCATCTGCCCCTGGGTCAGGAGCTGCTGAGGGATGCTTCTGTTCATCTGGCACCCCTCGTCCAGGTGAGGTGCACAGCCATGCAGGCAGCAAGGGAATGGAAATGGAGAGGTTGAGACTGATCATTTGTCACTTAATTTTGCTGATGATTCCTCCGAACAGTGAACAGGCAATATTGTAATGGGCTGTAGATTTCCATGATGAAAGCCAGCTCGTTATGGCATAGATGTGAGTGTTGTGTGACAAAGAGTTGTTAAAATGGAGAGGTTAGTATTCAATTATTTCTGAAAATTGTGCCTATATCTAAGTGTGGGCTGTTAAGTACTCCGAAAGAAAAAGGTGCACTTAGGCATTTTGTGCATATTCCAGATTTTTTTCCTTTGAGGCAATATTTTAATTTTTGCAGGGCTAAAAACTATTATAATTTAAATTAAAAAGGAATGATGCAAAACAAATGCTCAGTGCCTGTCCTGCAAGGGGCTGCATCGTGTCAGAGCATTCAGTACTGCACTCTGTAAGCGTGGTGTGGAAGCTGGATTAGATGATCACAGGATCATAGAATGGTTTGGGTTGGAACGGACCCCAAGGATCATCAAGTTCCAACCCCCCAGCCACAGGCAGGGCCGCTAACTTCCAGCTCTGGAGCCTGGACCAGGCTGCCCACAGCTCCACAGTGCTCGTCATGCAGCAGATAATAGCAGTCCTGCACTTTGTTTTGAAGAGCTGTTCTCTATTGCTGTAAATCATTTTCCTTAAATGTCCGATGGTTGTTTTTTTCTGTCAGGAAGTGCAGTTCAATACTCCACGGGCACTAGGCCCTCATCTCCCGGCTTGTAAGACAAGGTTCCCTGAGGTACCACAGGGTGGGCTCTGCACTGAACTGTAACAGCACCGTCCTGCTGCTGTTAGTCATGGAAAGGTTCTGACTCATCCAAGTGTTGCACTCAAAAAGCAGATCTGTGTGTTATTCCTTTAAATCAAAACAGGCAGTGACAGCCCGGGCTAGCATGGTGCCTACCAGAAGAGTACATTCGCTCTGACCATGTCTGGGAGACTATTTGTTTTCTCATTACTGAGAGTGTGCTGGCCCAATGTAAATGTCAGTGAGCTCGATGTGTTCTGTGCAATGAAACGGATAGATGTAAAGCAGCAGCGGGTCAGATCTGGAGCTGAGGAGCTGCAGGAGAGCACTTGCTGCCCCATTTCCATCTGCATCCGAGTGGCTCAAAGACATTGTCCTCAGGAGTGCAGTGCCTGTACGTGCTCAGAAAGGAGGAAATGATTCTTCGTGATCTAGCAGGTTGTAGTGTGTTTTTTGTTTGGTTTTGCTTTTCTAGCAAATATTTCCTTAGTGTGGGGTTTAAACATTTCTGTATGTGCTAAGGAAAATGCAAATGATACCTATTTCTGGAACAGCTGCTGGTGGGAGTCTCCCGTGTGCAGAGAGCTCGGTGTACAACCGGCGTGGCACCAAGTTGTGGTGTCTGCAGGCAGTGACACGTGGCAAGAGGCAGCAAAACATCTGGGAGATGGAGGGCTTGTTTGCAGTACACCTGTAGGCGATTGGGAAAAAGAAGTCAGAAAAAGAGCCCCAAACTCTTTGTGAACTTCACGTTCCTCTGGCATCAGGACATCTAGAAACAATGTGAGGTCCCCAGTCGCTCTGTTACAAGGTGATTTTTCCAACAAAGAACCGGCTGGCCACAAAAGCATCTTGCTGTGTCTGTATAGCACATGAGGCCCTTATTAAGGGATCGGCCGATTATTATTCTGCTACCGGCCCTTATTTTCCTCTTCCACTCTCTGTCTCTCAGGCTGCATACAAATATAGCAATCGATGGAGGGGAGATGTTCCTCCTTTACGAGATTAATTACAAACACAGGGAAGCTCTGTCTAGCCTGCATGTATGATTGATCTTGCAGGAGGAAATGCAATAGGAAACTAATGCTTCCTTTTATCCAGTAAGCAAAGTTCAGAGATGTTTACATTCTGCTAGGTAAGCACAGCTGTCTAAAGACGCCAAGACGGATGGACTGTCCTGTCAGCACAATTCCTGCCGAGGGAAGGGCCTGCACCATCTCTGTGGACCTCCCCCTGCCCACAAGGCTGCAGGGCCAGAATCGCTAATTTAGCAATCAGCTTAATTGTTGCACGCCGCTATTAGCAGGGAGACCCACACAAAGCCAGTGCAGCGGTGCTGGTGGGAGCAGCACTGGGCCTGGTGGGGCAGCACTGCGGGACCTGGAGAAGGGCTCCTGCTAGCACTGCACACAATGTGACTGTCACAGGCCAGCTTCCCCAAAATTACAAGCTTTTTTTCCCTTTAAAACCCAGCTGGCGCAGGGAGCGCTCTGCTTATTCTCTCCCAGCAGCTCGCAGCACGGAGCTGTGGAAGCATCTGCAAGAAGTGCGGTGCTTAGCTGCCCTTGTATCTATTTGTGTACAAATACAATCTTACAAGCCATGGATTTGGCTCAGGGTCCTTCCGAAAAGGCTCATTTTGTTCTTGGGCACGAGCGGATGCTTTCAGTTAGCCTGAGAAACAGAGTTAGAGGTGATGGATCCAGCTTAGTGACTCAGCCCTCTTCCTGGCACTATTTTAAATTATAGATGCACTGCTGCTGATATTTAACTCCTGCCAGAGCTACTGAGCTAAATGGAGGATTTGAAGTATTCCTGCAGCGCTAAGTCTGGGCTCAGACAGAGGAGATCCACACCCGGGGTTGGTTTCCTCAAGGAAGAAGAAATCAGCAGGGTACCCCAGCCATAGCATCCCATAAGGTGCAAGAAGGTCCCTTGGCAAGGCAGTGAGCAGCCGGTCCGGCACCCACCCTGCAGCCGGCCTCGATTACCAGCGTAGTGCTGCACTGCTGGGGGCCAGAAAGTCCCCGCACTAAAATAATTAGTGTAATAAATACGGCGTGCGGAGCGCAAGAGGAAGCAGGGATGTCTCTGTTTGCATCTCCCCCGTGGAGCTGGGCCTGCTGGAGTCCAGCCCTGCATTGCTTTCGCCTTTTATTTTCCTCCCGGAGGTCTGCTGGTGCCGGAATGAACGCTGACACGCGGTCGCGGCGCGTTTCGGCTGTCCTTTCTCTTCGCTTTGCACATGCAAATCCTGCCTGACAAGCGCGGCTCATTGGCTGCTTGAGTCAGTTTAGTCGGCTTGACAAAGGTTATTGCAATAATTGATGTTCCTCTTCTAATAATTAATGTTAATGAGTCCACTAAACAGTAAACAAGACAACAAAGAACTGTTAATGAGACGGTCTTCACTCATTTGTGTAATCTTTCGGTAAGATAATGGGCGATAAATACGTCGCTATTCAGCCATCTTCCAGTCCTTAATGCGTGGAGAGTGTTTTAAAAAGAGATTTGAGCTGATTTTTTACACTTGCCGTCAGTAAATGCGGCAGGCTGGGTAGGTGGGGCGTCTGAAAGAGTTTGGAGACCTATATAATTAAGTGCCTTGACATTCTGCGTCTGAAGGACATTGGCGGGTATCCAAACAGTGTGTTCTGCTCTCAAACCATTTAATTGAAACCATGCAAAGTTGGGGAGGGGGAGGGCGAAAGAGGGGAAGACGTTGGCAAAAACCCTCCGTGCGTTTTTTCACTGTTGGATTGACCAGACAGAGCAACAAAGCTGATAAAACAGGATTAGCAAAATTGCATTGTTGGATATTATACGCTGTGTGACATGTACTACAGCAAAGGAATTTGGCAGGATTAACCTGCGGAGGATAAAGATGTACCAGACAAGCGGGCTGAATTAATAGACTGCTGTGACCAAAGCAAGGAAATCTATTTGCATGGAATATTAGCAGTGAGAGCAGAGCTGTGCTGGAGGAGTTGCACTTGCTGTCCTGTGTGGACCTGGAGACCAGACTCACCAGGCAGCAATTCAGAGTGAAGAAAGCAGCTCGTTGGTTTATCTTTATTCTTTCCTGTTTCTAACCCAAAAAAAGTGCTAATTCCTAGAGAGAGTGGTCTGCCTTATTGGATCTCATGCCCATTCCCTCCTGCAAACAAAGAAGTTTGTTTTCCTGTTTGTAGGAGATGAGATTCTTCTCCTAATGTATACATATTTGCCTCATTCCAAAGTAAGTGTGTGTTCTGTTGTCTTTCCTCAGGGCTCGCAGCACCAGCCAGCATGGGGGAGTGCAGTGCTTGCTCTGCCACTTACTCGGCTGCTGAGGAAATTGGACACTAGTGGAAATGGTAAGAAAGCTTTTGAACCACGTAGAGAACATGAAAACTATAGCCCATAGGTGACTAAAAACTGTACAATTGTACTAAGGGTGCAGATCAGATGAGCTCTAAGACCGTGTTGGACTATTTGACAGAGAAAGTGCAGGCAGAAAGACAGCATCCGTCTCTTGTGCAGCAAGGGGAGAGAGAGTCTTGGGTTAAGTGTTCATTTCTCACTTGCAGAGTGCATAATACTGGTTCTTAGTGGAAAAGGCTTTTAAATTGGCTTCTGGGCAGCAAGCGATGCATACAGGAGATTGATTTCGTTTTAGAACGCTGCTGTACTTGGACGCAGATTGCGTGAAAGGTTTCATAAGGATTTAAACAACCTTGAAAAAAGCTCGTACCATTTGTTTTTCTTTTCCCACCCACAGTACCATTGTCAGACTTCAGTGTTCCCACGGAACAGGGAATGTGCAGAACGCATTTGGCATTACTCTCGGTGTGACACAGTGTGCTCCTGCCAGCATGCGCAGTGCCGCGGCACGCAGGGAGGGACCTCTCAGCATCTGGTCACCTTCAGCCAGCATTGCCGAGTCACTGCTGCTCAGGAGCAGCCAGAGCACAGCTTCCACTTTCAGGCTCTTCTTTTCCCATCTTGAAGCTGAATAATAGATTTGCATAAAATATGAATACGCTGTTTTGTTTCTTGTAGCACTGTGTATTAAAATTTCAGAAACTGCTCTTTAAATAAAAGCTCTGTCAGCGTGACATAGCTGAGACTTTACAAGTGCACGCACGTGCAGAGGTGTCAGATTCATCTCCATTTCGTGTAGCAGCTACAATATAGAACCTGGGAGGTCTCCCCTTACTGCACTTTTTTGTAGCTTCTTTGCTTAGGGACTGGTTGTGACCCCATCTCCCATCTCCGCAGTGAAAAGTCAGTGCATGAGGTTTCCTTTGGATTAAATGGGGATGCACAGGGATAACTCCCTCTGTTGGAAAAGTGGGATGTTTTGTCTCCACACCAAACCTGCTCCAAAACTATTAAAAAGGAGCAGTTTCTCCTTGGAGACATGCCAGGCTCTACATCGTATGCTTTCTCCTGTTTTGCTTAAAGACTTGTGCATTTGGTCCTCACCACAGAGGCAGTCCCAAGCTGGGTGACAGAAACTCTGCTTTATTTTGAGCTCTGGTTGCTAAGGAAAGTCCTTAATGCACATACTGGATTCGAGTGTTTGCCTGTTGTTCGCTTCTGTGTAGATGAGTTAGCAGCCCATGAGGTGATGAGAATGACCTGACCATTGTAAGTGAGTCACTGTACCACTGTACCACATGTGCAACATTTTGAGGGAAATCAATCTGATGACTTTGCTGGTCAGCAGTGAATTGCATCTCTGAACTTCCACACATCCCTGAGGGATATGGCCACGCAGGGGAGCACAGGGCCTCCAGACTGGATCTCCCTGAGTTCCAGCAGGACCTGTAAGCCTGTAGGCAGTACCCCACATGCCACAACCCTGGGCAGCTCCTGGGGACAAGCCAGGCATGTGCTGAGGGGTGTGAGGCTGAATGGCAGCACAGTGCCCAGGAGGCCGCATGCTCCCTGCGGCACCGTTCTCCTTCTGACAGCATCCTGGCATCAGTGAAAAAGCAGCAGCCTGTTTCTTTGTGTCTCTTGGGGCTCGACTGAGTTTCTAGGTTACGTCCCTGTCTGCAAGCCTCCATCCCTCCTGAGATGAACACAGGATGTGGATAGTGAGGATGCAGCTGAACCCGCATCACACTACAGCAGCTACTCTTACAGTGCAGCAGATCTCAAGTGCAGCATCTGTCTGCCATTTCTGGAGGAAGAAGTTCACCTGTAGTACTTCAGTACTTCAGTACTTCAGTGTCATTGTAAGCATGCAACCTGTGGGATGGACAGACATAACCCTCTCTTTGCTTTTCAGGACAAGGATGGAGCACAGAGGACACGGGGCCCTGCCAGGTGCCGTGCAGCAGCTGGTGTTGTGAATCAGGCCGTCACCAGTCGGAGAACGGCTACTTCACAACACCAGGGTGGCACTGCACCACACTTCTACACCAGCCAGAGGAGCAGTGAGGGTCCCAGCATGGGCACAGCCAGTGGAGCCCAGACCTGCTGAGGTAATCAGGCGCTCTACTCCTGTTCAGGTAACCAACCTCCCATAGAAGTCTGGAATAGAAGTCAGGCCCCCTAAACATCTCTGTGGGTCCAGTCCTTAGGCTCCTGTGTGCTGTGTGAATTGGGAAGAGGTATGGAAGGCAGTGGAGTGAGCAGTCTCTATATGCTAGGCACATCTCCCAGCAGAGATGGCTGTGGTCCCTGCCCTGCTGGAACACCTCAATGCATGCTTTCTATAAAGGATGCTGTGGCTACATTCCTTGGAAATGACACTAAAGCTGCCTGGTTCTGATCTGTGGAAGCAGCTTCCTGCTCTGGAATGCAGGACAGTGGGGGCTTCTCACTGGTGGGGCTTTTCCTTTCCTCCCATCCCAAGTAAGACTGGCTGTGCGCTCCTGTGTGTTGGCCACCTGCTCTCCTGTCTGTCACGAACATTTGCATGGATGTAAAGCTAAGAGGAGAAATCAAAGAAAGTAGCATAGAAGTGATTAAGGATTTTATGAAAGTTTTTTCTTGTTATCATAACTCAAGCCAGTAGTATAAACTACCTCAGTCTCATCCTGGATATGTGATGCTGGCAGGAAGATAGATGCAGGGGAGAGTCAGAATTCACACGAGAGCAGAAATAGCACGGGACAGTCTGGAAATGCACATGCACAGAGGCACATGGGTGACTGCATCACATGTCCTCATCTTCCCCTTCAGGAGAGCTTCATACAGAAGCAACCCCAAGTTCCATCCAAATCCCTTAGCCAACACCATGAAGGGCATATGGGGGTTGTATGGGGCGCTTCTCATGCATTAGGAGAGGGCAGCCTGATCTTGCTAGTTAGCCATGGTGTTTTTACATTGATTAGAGAGAAATGAGAGGGAATGTTTGGAGTTCAGGCACCGTGACAGGAATGAGTATGACAATGTCAACGTGATGTGTAAGAAGTCTGTTTTATTAAACTTGTCTTCTGCTAACAAAATGTGTCCTCTGTGTCCTGGTCTCTATGTTTATTGTAACCTTGTTCTAAAGCTCGCTACTTGTAAGGTAGCTGTAAGGTTTGTTCACTGTAAGATTTGTTTCACAGGATAAAATAATGCAAGCCTTTAGAAACAGAAGGTTGCAACAACGTAACCCCTCTTACTCCTGCATACATACTCTATTTACATGGGCAGCTATTCAGATGCAGCATTAAATACCATTTCATCTTTCTCTGTGATCCAGAAGCCTCTTTGACCTATTCAGTTCCTGTCTGCAAATACACATAACATTTGAAATAGGTTAATGCTTAATATCTGCTGACAGATGACCTAGTGGATGATCTCCATCCTTCCCTTAACTATGAGGTGTGGGGATATGGTATGGGTAAGATGGCTTGTTTCCAGCTCCTTTTGTGAAGGAATTTCTTGGGATGTCATATTTCAGAGGTACCTCGGGGGCCTTTATTGTACTCCGTCTTTCTAACTGGAATCTATCACACTTTATGTTCTCCTAAAATGATTTCCTAGCAAATTAATGCGTGCCGTAATGTGGCACTGCTGCTGAAAATCAAACACTCTTGCTCGTCATTAAGGAACCCGATCATGCCATCCAGTAGGGAGGATGGAGGGCTGAATAGCCGGCTGTCAGCTTTAGATGATGGAAGCAATTTCTGTTTGCTCCATTCAGCAGTTAGAAGTACTTAATTTTAGCACGTACTGCAATGAAAGGTGAATGCACAGAATAAATAGCTCAATATGAGTTTTACATTTGTGTGAGTGTTAATGCTTAAGCAAGTGCCCACAGTTCTTGTTCAGCTGGAGTTCTGGCTGCTAGGATGGAGAACATGTGCTGCACCGGGCTTCTGGTAGCCCTAAAGCTGGAATTGGGGGGTACACCCAGAGATCTTCCCGGTGCCTTTTGGATCCTGTTTAGTATTGCAATTTGGATAGTTTCCCCAAAAAATACTGTAACACAGAATCATCTGGAAAAGACCTCCAAGATCATCTAGTCCAACTGTCCACCTATCACCAGTATCTACTCACTAACCCATGTCCCTCAGTACAGCATCTTAACATTTCTTGATCACCTCTCGGGTTGGTGACTGCACCACCTCCCTGGGCAGCCCTTTCCAGTGCCTGACATTTGTCTGGAAGTCCTCCAGTATATAATCATGCCTCCAATATACAAATAAGTGGAGCTGAACCAACCTGTTGTGCAGTGGAGTGACACTACAGAATAGCATCAGTCACCAATTCTGCAGGAGAGGCTTGGCAACGCTTGCAGCTCATCAGGACAGAGGCTATAAAGCAGCAGATAAAGGGGCAGGCCCATTGGCACCATGCATGGGTGGTGGAACTGGATTGGGACAGGTGCTCTTTTCCGCAGTGCCAGCAGGTGCCACCACCGCCACCCTCCTGGAAGTGGCACCATCTGCTCTCCCATAGCCATGTGGCTCACCAAGTGGCTTTAGCAGCTTATGGGAGTTTTACGGGACTATTTTTTACCATGTAAAAATACTCGTTTCCATAGTGACAGCCACATGGCGCAGCACTTACTTCAACTCCAGAAATGCATTATGGAAAACCCCTGGGAATAAAAATCCCATGTGCCCCGGGAGCCCCTGCATTGGAGCTGCTCGTTTCCATGGCCAGCACTCCCACACTGCACAGCCGTGTTCTTCGTTAAACTTCAATAAATCTCATTCATTATTTGGTTGTTCCACCTTAACTTTTGTTTTGTTTTGTTTTGCCTTGTCCCACCTCAGGGGCACAGTGGCAGCATCTCCCATGACAGCTCTGCAGGGACAGTAGTGGCTGCTTTCCTCTAGGAATGGGATTTGATCCCTTCCCCCTTTCAGCTGGTCTGCACCCAGCAGCATTTCATTGCATTCTTGCAGCTGTGTTGCCGAAAAAGCCCTTCTAGTTTTACTGCATGAATTAAAGGCGTGTTGTCCTCCATCTTTGGATTTAGAGCGGCAGCGTCTCATTTGCCTGATCACAGGGGAAGGGAAGCGGTGCAATGGCTGTTCTTGATGCCATATTCCCATGCTGAGGGAATGGCATCCTGTGTCCTATTGTGGGGTGAAGTGTGTGTTTCGGTGGACGTAACTCTGAAATCTACCACAACGTGAAGGTGAGCCTGCAGGCGTGTGGGCTGGAGGCAGGGGAGCCAGGGCAGCCCAAATGGGATTCCTGCTGGATTTCAGTAGGCTGCTCTGTCCTGGGCAGCTCTGGGTCTCACTTCTCCACAAGCAGAGCAAAGTGCCCAAAACACACAGAGATGGAGCAAAGCCACACACGAGCTCTTTTTTAGTAAACCAAATGGCACCGCCTTGTCATGTGAGCTAATATCCCTGCAGCGTGGCTTTGTGTATTTATTCCCTGCTGATGTTGCTTTTGATCGCTACTAGATGAAAATGAAACCTTTGCTGCTTCAGGGCTGCTGTTAGGACAGATTCCATGAGATGAAAACACATTTCAGGAAATACCGCAGAAGCCAATTTTTGTTTTAATTTCTGGGGACACACAGAGCTCCAGTTCCTTCACCAGGAAACCCTGGGGCAGGAGATGCAGGAGAAGAAAGGCACACTGGAAACACACATCAAAAGCCTGTCCTTCCAACTTGTGAAAACAGACGTCATTTAGAGGCAATGCTTTTGTCCTCGTGATCACAAGACTCTTCCATTTGAGGGCAATGTCTGGGGAGTCCTTTCTTCACAGGCTTTTTGACCACATCCAAGGGCTGCAGCACCACAGCATGTTGTCATCGTGCCAACCAAACACCCTCCACTCTGTCCATCAGCAGCCCATCAGTCCAGGAGTTGGACTTGATGGTCATCGTGGGTCCATTACAACTCAGGATATTCTAATTCTGTGACCAGTCTGCCCTGTCACTCCTATATCCAGGTTACTCACAAATGCTCTGCAGTGATGGGAGACGGGACAGAACCCCCAAAGGCAGCGCTCTGCCCATGAGGAGGAGCCATGGTGTATTTCTGATGGCACACCCGACCTACTGCAGATCTATGCAGTGTGAATCACTGTTGTGCGCAACCCGTGTGGTTCAAACCTGGCATGAATCTGAGTAACCTACATCTGAAGAATGGGGTCTTGTCTTCTGATTTAAGCACATGATAAGGGTCCACTGAGTCTCTTAGTTAGGAAATAAGAATGGAGTTTTTCCCATACATTCCTAGAAGAAAAGGTCCAGGCTTGGAAACACTTTCATTGAAAAAATTAGAAGAAGAATCAGGCACTGTTATTGAATGTAACTGAGATTAACAGTGAGAAACTGGGATTTTCTCATGGGGAAAAAACCATAAAAGCCACATAAAAATTGGCATTAATTGGGAGTGGGGAAAACTTCTGATGAGCTGAAGTAAAAATGTGCATCTGTTGAATGTAAGGAAAATCCCACAGCTGAACTGGTAGGTGCTACAGACGTTCTGTATGTGAGCCTGGGCCCGGGCAAGGAGTAGGACCTACTGCCCATTCCTGGGGACAGCATGGTGGTCTGCATCCACTACCTGCTTCCATTTGCATAGGGGAGGCCTCCATCATATAAGGCATGGGGTGTGTTTCTGCACACAGAGCTGCAGCAGTCCTCTGTAGCATCAGTGTACGAATGCTGGGGCAGCAACTCAGGAATTAATAGAAAAACACTCATATTTTCCTCTTGTTCAAAACCACTGTTTGGAAGAGGAAGAGGTCACTGAGAAGAGTTCTAGAGCTGCTGGAAAGCAAAAAAAAAAACAAAAACAAAAACAAAAAAAACCACCCAAACCAGTTTCATTGTGTTCATTTTAATAATCCATTAATGGAGCACGGCAGCCTGGGCAAGCCCACTCCATCCCAAGCTGGGCTGTTGTTTCAGCACAGAAAAATACAGCAGAATAACTGCTGGCCCAGGTGGGAATTCCTGAAGCTCCCTGCAAAGGGTTCCCCCAGGTAAAGGAGATCTCATACACATGTACGTGGCCAATGCACTGTGATTCCACCTTCATTTAGAGCAGAAATGGAAACTTGGGGGGAAAGAGACCCTTCCAGATTGAAATCAAAACAAATCACTTTTGTGCATATTAATAAGGATCCTGATTGAAAATGTTCTCACTACTCACGGAGGAATATCAACAGTAGATGCTGCTAATTTAAGCCTGGCTAATTAAAAGGAGAAATAAAAAAATTTAACTCCCCTAGAAACAGCCGCACGAAGGATGCATTCATCCAGCACATTTCATCAAGCTCAGCTTATTATACACGGGCTTAGGGAAAAAAAATCCTAGGGCTTTTTTTCCTATTCTATGGGTGGACATTTCACACCACTCTGCATTCCAGCCCCTTCAACCAGGGCCTGGCAAGGCTCCTCCATCTGCAAGAGATGTTAGGGATCCCTGGGATGGAGCCTGGGAGGTGCTGGAGTAGAGTGATGCTGAGAGTGGTGGTAGAGGGTGAGCTTAGGGCAGTTCCAGCACAGAAGGATGAGGCAGGAAGAAGAGCCCAGGTGAGCCAACTGTCAGTCGGCACATCTGCACTGAAATGGGAAGAGGGATTTTGTTCCCCATCCTTTTTTTTTTTTTTAATTTTTATTTTACGGTTATTTGTTGCGTCTCTTTGAATTTGCATCCCAAGGGCTTCTGTATGACAGCATGTAATAGCATTAGTCACCGTTTTA